CATTGACCTCCTGGGACAGGGCAGAAGGGTCTCTTTGGGTATTCTGTGGAGCAGTTGGGGGACTCAAGGCACTGACCTCATGGTGAGCAGCTCAGTGTGGAGCCCACCAGGACTCCCACCAGGGCTCCTGAAACAAGGTATACACAGTTGTTGTTGAGGTTGAGTTGATCTCAGCTCATGTGTTTTAACGCATGTCAAAGTAGAACTGTGCTCCACAAGGTTTTCAATGGCTGATTTTTTTGGTAAGATGGTCACCAGTCCTTTCTTCCTAGTCTGTCGTAATCTGGAAATTCTGCCCAAATCTGTTCAGCATCATAGAAACATGCTTCACCGTAAGAGGTACCACATACTGGGGGTGGAGGGAGGGTGTGCTGGAATGGTCCAGGAGGCTTTAAAGCGTATACTTACATGATATCCTGGACTATGTGCTATACCATCAAATAAATTAATTGCAGAGGGTTACCGAGTAGTGTGATTTTGTTTGTTTGTTTTTGCAAAGGGGACAGTGGGCCCAATAAGTTTGGGAGCTTATAGCCTACCTTCTGAGTTGAGGAAGAATTAGAAATATTTCTATTGTTAACAACAATTGCCACTACAGATTTGAGAGAGACAGTGAAAATGTATTCTCCATTCAACCGTTCATACACATTCTGTTTGGTGGCATTGATTGCAAACCTACAGTGTCACAGCGCTTCTTCCACCATCGGTGTCTTTAGCATTTCCATGAGTCCTTTTTCACCCCCTCCTGCTTTCTGAGCTTTATTCCTGGGCAAATGCTGCCCTTTTAAACTCCTATGGTTGATTGCTCTGAGGGCGTGTGTACATCCTTGGTGTTACTGTTCACCTTATGGGTCTGCTATTGTTCGGCTGAAAATTGAGCCACGGCTTGAAGCGTGACTAAGGGCCTTGGTCTCAGGGGCTCCACCCATCTTTGTCAGATCAGTGAGCCTGATCTCTCTCATGATTTTGAGTTTTGTTCCATGTTTCTTCCCCACTTTAACCAGGCCTGTCTGTTGCCATCCCTTTCAGAACAGTGGGCAGTGGTGGCTGGGAACCATCTAATTCTCCTAGTTTTCGGCTTGTGTAGACCCGGGCTTGTGAGGTTTCTGTAGTCTATTAGTCCTTTGGACCAAACGTTTCCATGTATCTTTGATTTCCTTCCTGGTTCTTTGCTTCCTTTAGAAAGATATCAATAACTGCTTTAGATGGCAGTTCACAAACTTTGAAGGCCCTAGTGTCTCTAGTCACCAAAGTAGAATATAGAACATTGTCTTTGTGGTGTATTTTGTGCCAGTTGACCTTGGTGTCCCTGAGCCCATGGTATTGAGTCCCCAGGCCCAGGGACTCATTCCTGCTAAGTGTTGGGTTTGGGCCAAGATGTATTCATAGCTTTGTTCCCTGTGTGCCCTACTACATTCAAGGATGTATTAACAGCGTGTATCTCATCAAAGCCTTGTACAGTGTTTCCTTGGATTTTTGACACACACCCCTAATGTTCTCTGGTTTCATGTTTTCCTCCTACACAAACAGAACGCTTTATACCAGGCTCAACCTTGATGAAGAAAGGAAGGTTGCCCTGACATAGCAGCTTTCTGAGAAACTAGAGCATGGAGGCTTCGAAAGGAAAAATGCTCAGAAATGAAACAACTTTTGGTTTCATTCTCCTGTGACTAAACCACCATGAACCCCAAAAGGGATAGGAAAAGAAGAAGAAGAAATCTCCAACAAACAGGCTGTCGATTGTCATGTTTTCTACCCATATGCTGCCCAATATTTCCCTGGGGGAAGATCAGTGATGTGGGCCGGAAAGAAGAAATCTTACATTTCTTTCTTTTTTAAAATTTCATTTCATTGTTGTCAACAACTCCCCAAGACAATGTTGTCTTCACCAAGCTCCCCAGAAATTAAATGGCTTGAGAAAGATTACTTTTGGTTAATGATCATTTCAGACATGTGGGGAAGAAACACCTAAATCAAACTCTAGACTAGACCAAACTATGGCAGGACTGAGCATCCTTCTCATTGACAATCAAGTAAAACCAAGTGCACTGCAACAGAAGATATGCACATCAACTCCTGGTACAGCCCAGTGTGAGGGATGAATTAAATTAAACGACTGGAAGTTTATTAAACAGAATTCCTTTTTAATGGTGATATTGGATTATCCAGTTCTGTATAATAAAACTAATTTTTTTCATGTCCCAGCTGACAGACCAAGCAGCCAACCTCCAACACTGCTTCAAAACCATGGACGTGATGGATTTCATTGAATGAAAAATACTGCATGACAAAAGATTCATCATTCCTCATCAGTTTTATAGTCACCATATTGCACAGGAACATATATTAATATAAAATATAGCACCAATGGTTGATATCCTGTGAAATGTTGACTAGTCTAATTCAAATTTGACATGTTTCAAAATGTTTCTTTTTCTTTTTAAAGATAGTACTTCCTGGTTAGCAGCAGCTCAGAGTAGAAAGAGCACTGGACCTGGAGTCAGATGCAATGCAGATGGCTTTCACTAAATGCTTTCTAAAATCCTTTCCAGATCTATTGTTCTATGATTATTTACGGTTGAATTGTAAACTTTAATGATTTGAGGTCATTTTAAAATGGCTTTAAAGTTGTTGTCTTTTAAGCATTCTGTTCTTCGAGTTGGGAAGTGAATTTTGAATGCGCAAGTTGGTAGAGAAAGGATAGGGAAGAGGCATTTTCATTGTTTTGGTTTATGTGTGTGCCTGTGTGTTTTCCACAGATCTGCTGTACTACGTCTATCATTTTATTAATAGCGCGTAGGCCCTCCTCCCCACTCCACTCACAGGCTCTCGGGAGGAGAATCCGCAGAGCAACAGCAGTCCTTTCTGCTACAAAGCCAAGGGAGGAATGCTATCAGAGGGACTCGATTGGTGTGGTGTGCTTCTATACCTGGCTCAAATTCACGTAGAATCTCTCAAGAGAGTTCACTTAAGCAAATGTCATTTTTGTTCTCAACCTGCCGTCTCTCTAGCCCCACATGTGTTTATATCTTCACATCAGTGCTTGTCCAATGGGAACCATAAGCCTGAACTGTCTGAACTTGATCTCAACAGCTTCCTCTCCACACCTGCTTCTCTCTTGAATTTCCAGTCGTGATGAACAGGATCACTATCCCGCTCCTTCTAGGCAAGCTCAAAGCCTTGGAGTCACTCTGGCCTTGATTTCCATTCTTTGGGCCAGCTGCTCTCCAACCCACCCTTCACACTGTGGCTGCCAAAGGGCTCTTTCTAAAATGCAAGTGGGGTCACAGTGCTTTTCATGATTCCTTTGCACCTGGATGACGTTCAGACTCCTCTCACATGCCCACCTCAATCGCCTCCTCTCCTGCCACTCCCTGTTGCGCCCTTTACACTCCAGCTTTGTGATGTGCTCACAGTTGCATCCTGGTCTTTTATTGGGATTTTGCATGTAAAATTCCCTCTGCAATGTCCTCAGCTTGAGTTAGTTACTTTGCCTTGGTGCTCTCATAGCATTGCCATGTACAGTAAAACCTGGGAAGGGCATAACCTGCGTAAGGTGGAAACCTGTCAGACAAGGGAAATGCAGATCTTGTCCACTAAAACCAGCGAGAGAAAAATTGGCAAGACTGCAGCCTGTCAAGGGGGAGGGGGCTGGTGAGGGTGGACATGGGGGACCCAGGAAATCACAACAGTCCCCTTAAGCTTCATCTCTCACAGGATCCACAGATTTTTAGCTCTTGCCACCCTGTTGTGTATAATTCTTTACTCGTTTGTCTCCATCCATCCAGTTAGAGTCCTGAGGACATCAGCACTGTAGAGGGAACTCAGGCTCTTGCTTGTTTCTAGGTGGCATTTAAGCTAGTCTGTGGCACGGGCCTTTTCTCTTTGTCCCAGCCCTCCCCCTGGTGGAGGTGATAAGAAGCAGTGACACGGTCACATGGCCTAAACAGCCTGGCTGATCCACAACCTGGATAAGCATTTGTCTCAAATCATTTTTAAGGAAAAGGAAAAACTAGCTCATCTGTGTTGGATGTAGGTAGTCTGACAGAAGCTTTCTGTCTTGCCATGTGTTCATTTGCAGACCCTGATTTTAACGCCCCCCTCCCACATTATAGTTGGGAGTCAACACATTCATCCTTGGTGGTCCGACAGAACGTCACATGTAACTGTAACATAGTCCAAGGAGAATTAGTGGTGGAAATATGCATTCTTGTTGTTGTGTCTCAGCCTGAAGCTAAGGCAAATCTGTCTTACAGAAATGTTTGCTTTTGGATGGTTGCATCTTAGAGCAAAGACTCAAATTCATCAATCACATCCTTAGGATTGGTATTCTCCCCAAGAGCAATGCGACCCACCACCCACAATAGTCAGAGAATGTTTTCATTTCTATGCCAGAACAATATCCAGAGAGCACTGCGTTCTGTCCCATTTGAAGATAACCCAGTTTTAGAATCAGTTTGGTAAGCTCCCTGTGGGAAGACTCAGTTCTTTGGAGTCAGGCAGAGAGTTTTTCAAACCCACCTGTGTATAGAGTTCCCTAGGGATGCTGAGTCTGTGTTAGTCTTATTGAACCTCATTTTAAAAGAGGTACACGATCAACTTGGTGGCGAGGGAGCTCGCCTCTGAAAACAAGAAACATCTAGAAAACAGGGTGGGTGTGTAATCACCATAGTTCTTCTTCCAGATGATTGTGAAAATTTTCAGTGCTTATGTTGACATTACAGTGAGAAGTCTAGCAGCAAGAGTGGGTTTTCATTTGAAGTGCAGGGAAAGGAAATGAATATAATCCATTTGTCATCAGGAGAGACTACCTTGAAATAAAATCAAGCAGCACTCACAATTGCGTTTTGCACACATGTCAAAAAACAAGGAACGATGATATGTTGTCTTAGGTTTCCATCTGGCTGTGTCCTGATTGAGGAAAGAAAATTCAGGTGCTACCAGAGATAACATGAAAAAACGAGAGACACAGAACTGGTAGAACTGGGCCCCTGAAGTCCTTAGGTTTCTATGTTCAGGGTAAAGATCACCCTCCCCACAAAACGATCATTGATGACATCATTTATAATGCTTTTGCCCTTCAGCTGGCACTGCACGGGCACAGCTTGGTTCTTCACCACATCTGTAAAATGCATTGCCACCAGGGGGGAAGTGTAGTTAACCTGTAGGTGGAAGAACAATAGATTCTAAGTGTGGGGAGGGTGGGGAGGGTGGGGCAGACAGGGAGGGGAGGTGAGGGGAGGATGGACTCAATTGGCCATTCAGTACAGGATAGTTTTAATGTCCACAAAGGGATCTGAATAAATACCACGACGCCAAGTCACAAATGGCTAAGCAACTGGCATGCTCTCTCTATCTGTGAAATCCAAGAAAGTACACGTTACAAGTTACTGTAGGGAAACTTAATTCTGATTCAGCGTGATATGATTTTCTGGCTATCAGACCATGAAGCAAGCCAGAACTGATATTGATTGACTCTCTGTGCTGGAGATGAATCCCTTACTACCCCAAGGCTCCAAATGAGAGAAATATGATAGTGAGGCATAACTGAGTACCAGGCCAGTAGTCGGTTCTCCCATTAATCAGTTATGTGACTAAGCGCAAGTCACTTCCTTTCATTGAGCCTCAATTTCCCTACCTGTAAATTGAAGGCATTACAGCCAAAGTCTATCTTTGGATTCTTTCCAACTGGGGACTAAGAGACTGTTGTAGTAAAGGGGTAGAAGGAGCCCCTGGTCATGGCCAGAAGGCCATTCACTCCTTTGTTCCTCCTTGCTGCTTCCTAATTCCCACAGGTCCTAGAGCCTTCCTGTTGTCTCTGAGCCCCCGCTGACTGCCAGCCTGGAAGGAATACAGACTTACATGATGATTGAGGGGGACACACAGGCTTACATGAGTCAGCTTGCCATAGTAAGGGTAGTAGCGGAGGTCAAAAGAAGCCGACTCTGGGTAGTAATTGATGGATCGGATGTCATTTTCATCCCCTGTCTGTAAGAAAAACAAGGATAAGTGGGATATTGGTTGACTGAGTGGTTTGGAATCTGTGCCCCAGATGAAAGCGCTGTGTGGCCTACAAAGATCCTGAGAGCAGGATAGAGCCCAGTTTGCCTGCCCTATCTTCAGAGGAGTATTTCCAGAGGGGTCTGTGGGATGGCTCTTCATGGTGAAGAACAGAAAGGAGGTCAAAGGTGTTCAGGGTGGCTCTAGGCGGTCTCCTTGAAGGGCTCAGACAAAAAGGTTCCCAGGGCTTATAGTCCCTAATGCTCTCTCCCTAACGAGCGCCCACCCTTCCAGCACCCCTGTGAGGACTCAAGCTGGTCCTGGTCCTCCGTCTTGGACTTTGTGGGTGAGGCAGCTATAACCTGGGGCAAGCTTAGTAAATCTCCACAACTTGCTCACTGCATACCAGGTGCACAGGGACCTGCTGTCCAGGGTCATTCCCTACCGCCAGCTCACCTAAACCCGTATCTCTGACCTTATTCTCTGTGGCCATCAATTTCAGTTTGTAGAGACAGAAGCATAAGGGACAGAGAGCTCAGTAACAGAAAGGATGGAAGTCAACAGTCTCCTCTTAATATACGAGATCATGCATATTAGCCTTGTCCTAAATCACAGAGGTCTTAGCTGGGGCAAATAGTTATGTGCTCGATTTCTAACTGAGAGCTTAGAAGTTCAAACCCCACCTGGCAGTACTGCAGAAGAAAGGCCAGGCGATCTGCTTCTGTTAAGATCACAGCCATTGAACACTGTATGGAACAGTTCTATTCTGTAGCACATGGGATCACCGTGAGTCTGAATCGACTCAGCGGCAACAGGTTTGATTTTTGTTTAGGGACGTTAATAGGGACAAATAGTACGTCACTGATAGAAAATTTTGGAGTCCTGGTGGCATAGTGAGTTACACATCAGGCTTCAGCAGTTCAAAACTACCAGTTGCTCCATCGGAGAAAAATGAGGCCTTCTGCTCCGTAGAGACGGACAGCCTCAGAAATACCCAGAGTCGGTTTTGAACTCTCTTATAGGGTCCATATTAGTTGGAATTGACTCAATGGTAGTGTGTTTTGTTGTTGTTTTTACTGGCAAATTATTCACTAGGATAATGTGATAACTTCTGTCAATATGCTTTAATCCTTCCTAGAATAAACCATTTATTCTAGAATGGTCTCCTCCTGCAGGGACCCTGGTGTAGTAGTGGGTTACACATTGAACTGTTCACTGCAAGGTCAGCAGTTCAGATTCACAAGTCACTCTTCGGGAGAAAGAAGAGGCTCTTTATCCCCACAAAGATTTACAGCCTCAGAAACCTAACGTGGCAGTTCTACTCTGTCCAGTAGGGTTGCTTGAGCAGTGAGGTTTTGTTTGTTTGCTTGTTTTTTTCAGTTTATCTCTTCCTGCACTTGATTTCCATAGTGGGGTGTGAATTTGACCTACATATTTATTGTTATAGAATCACCTACCAGAACCAAACCCCCTGCCATCGAATCTCTTCCATCTCATAGCAACCTACTGTAGAAGGGCCCCTGTGGGTTTCCAAGGTTGCACATCTTTATGGGAGTAAACAGCCTCATCTATTCACCTTGGGAGAAACTGGTGGGTTCACACTGTTCATCTTGCAGTAATTAGCTCATTGTGTGACCCACTATGCCATCAGGGCTCTTTTTTATAGACTTTTAATATTTCTTTTCATCTTCTAAAAAGCAGTTTTATTGGCAGGTAATCCACACATCATTTAAGAAACTCTTAATATTTCTTTTGAAAAAAACCACCAACAGTTCTCAGCAAGGTTTGATGTAAGCTGATAAATGAATAGCTTCCATTAGGGAAGTGCTTGCAGGATTCTAGCCAATTGATATGCCAGTTACAGACTGAGTTGGTCTTTATATTTTGTTTATATAGTCTAAAAAACAACAGCATTTCTGTGTGTGTGTGTGTGTGTGTACGGCCTATGGATTCCACTCTACCAGTTTGCAGTCACATCTCACATGTGTGTCATATGTAGACATGGAAACCAAATGAATGCCCTTCCTATTATCTCCACCTGGCACAACAGCCTGGCAGAATTAATCTTCAGCATCGCTGCCTCTCAGGCAGAACTGATCTTTCCCTCCTACTGCCCACATCGCCTTTTACATGGCACCTTTCATCGTAACACTTGATGTTCTTTCTTTCTGTTTGACTTGATTTTCTTGATGCCAGTGTTCAGGTCCTCTTTATCTTTGAACCCTCAACACCTAGCAAAATGCTTGGCATATAATAAGCGGCCAATAACTAGTTGCTGAATGTGAAAAACTGACTGAATAATTGCCTCTTTTGGTCCTCTTCTGATCTGCCACTCTGAGCACTGGAGTTGTGAGCTGTATTTCTGCTCCTAGCAATGGCTCTACCTGGCCTCACACATGTTCAGGACTGCTGTGATGACATCAACTCACACAGGAGAAGGCTCAAAAAAAATAAATAAAATACCTAAACTCACTGCCATCGAGTCGATGTTGCCTCATAGTGACCCTATAGGACATGGTTGAACTGCACCTGTGGGTTGACAGCTACTGCCCATTTAAGAAGCAAACTCAAGATTTAGGGGTTTTTCCTACAAAGGAGCTAATGGGTGCAGATGAGATAGGAGTTAATGGTCCCTCCCAGGACAGTTAATTAGCATATTAATGAAGTTCTGTTTGTATTTCTGTTATAGTCTTTTGTTATTGCAACACCCAGGGCCACTGGTCATTGCAGCAAATTCCATTTTAAAAGCAGGGACTAATGACTCTAATGAAAGCCATTTGTTCAGTTCAAAGAAACAAGTCATTAGAGCTAAAAGCAAAAGTGTAAACAGAATCACAATTAATGACTTGGCATGCTGTTGGGCCTGGCTGTGAACCTTAGCAGAGGCTCAGTCTTTGGCCTTCCCGGGTATAAATCATAACACACACACACACACACACACACACACACACACACAGCTTTATGGGAATAAGGAGGCCTAAAGGCACTAACGGGCAGTCTCGTTAATAAGAGTAAGCCGTTCTTTAACTTCTAGCCCACCGGTCTTGTGTCGAGTATTTACATGAAAACAGTTGTGCTAACTATGCTTACTCCCCAAAGCCACTTTACCTGAACTTTGCAGGAAACCTTCACAGGATCTCCAAGTTCAGGACGAAAGCCTACAATCTATCAAAAGAAAAACAGTGTTTATTTGTTTACAAAAAACAAAACAAAAACGCTTGACAGTCCAAGTGGATTTTTGCTAAATCCCCCTTGAGTCACCCTTTCTCATGCGTGGGCTTTGTCTATTTTGCTCCCCTCGGAAGTGTTACCAAAAAGCAGAGACTGCAAAAGAGCCTCAGAACTGTGAAGCCCAGCTTCCTCCTGTTTGTTGTCGGAACATCCGTTCATTCACAGTAGAAACTGCTACGAGATGTTTCTAAAGATGGAGATAACTTTCTGACTTCAAGAGGGACATGCCTGGTAAGGTATAGCAGGAGAAAAGGAAACTACCGGTTTTAGACTAGGAAAACAGCCCCTGCTCCCACCCACAGCTGTGTGCAGGGAGAAGAGGTGATTACTGCTTGCTCGCTTTGTCGGGTTGTTTGTATTACTGTTAGTCAAAATGGCCATGCCTGTGGTGTGTGACGACAGTCCAACAGGAGCAGAGTGGCCGGAACCCTCCTATGCAGCTCCCCCTCTTCTCACTACCAGAGGATCAAGGGGTAACGTACCCGGTTCATCTTTAGAAGGATGCAGGGCCGACCAGTAGAGTAGCCAAAAGTAGGGTCCTCAAGACCAGAGCAGTTCTTCAGAAATGACCGTTTAAATTGGCAGGCTTTCTTGTCTTCATCTTCATCGCCATCTTGGAGGAAGTACTGCCCGGGTGGACAATCTACATTCATTTCCTCTTGAAGGCTGTCATTATAGCCTAGAGTGTGTGGGAGTGCCAAAGGGTCATGTTAGACAGGTACTACAGAGGACAGGTGTGTTTCCAGAAGTTTTCCCTGTAAGGCTTCCTCTCTCCAGCTTTCTTGCAGACCTCTGCTAGCCCATCCAGCCCATCCTGACCCCTGGGGTCAAGTACCCAAGACTCTTCATCAACAGCATCCCTCCAGAAACCTTTCTTGGCGAGTCACCCTTGCTGCCCCCTGCTTCTCATTCTCTCAGAACATCTGGGTATTCATTTCTGGGACATTTGTTCAATGCCTGAGACATTTCCCTTGATTTCTTTTTTAGAGATAATAAACCCTGTGACTTATGAGAGAGGAATCAGCACATAGAGGGTAGATTTGGGGAAATGAACCAAATCCTGCCGAGGCATGGTAGATATAAAGGGGTGGAGCTTAAGTTCAGCCTAGAACCCAGTTCCCTTTCTTGGTCAATAGGAAGCACATGATACAAGAGAGTGGGGACGTGTGAGCTGTTAAACGGGAGAAAGAGGGCTAAGGAGGAGGAGAGAAGCCAGCTCCTCTTTCTTTAGAGAGGGAGCACTGCAAAATAGAAACGGGAGGTGAAAGACAGAAGCCCACAACAAACCCTGGCTCCTCTTCACTGAGAGAGAGAGAGAGTGAAGTTGTCTACGCTGAGGCTTGAAGCACCCAGGGCTAGTGTCCCTTTACATGGGCCCAGGGTACATTCATCAAGATGGGAGCTAAACGTGACTGTCAACTGACACTTTGGGTTACCAGGTGCTGCAGAACAGGGCTTGGGACATTACCTCAGGATTTCCAATTTGGATCTAAGTGATGGGGTGCAATTGGACCCTAACCTCCATGTGCTCATGTTTTAAGTAGCTCAGTCTTTCAGAGGTGATTGTCCACTTATGACCCACTAGAAGCCAGCCTCCAAACACACTGCTGCTGGATCCTCACTTAGGCAGGTGGAGGCTTGGGTTTGACATGGAAGCAACAGGGAATTTGAAATCTATCTCAGTTAGGACTATGCTTTTATTTTTCCTTTGGCGAAAACTACATTCAGTTCAAGATTTTGTTTTAATATTTTCATTTTAGAACAAGAAGTGTGCTCACATTATAACTTTCTAAATAGATAGAATCATGTACTCACTGTTTTTCTTGAGGTAGTCCCATTAAAAATAAGGTGGCATGGGCATCACCCTTATTGCAATATCTCAGTCCTCCTAGGATGACACTGATACTCTGGCATGTCTATTTTGGGGGGGGGTGTTGCTTTTTAGCAGGACATATTATCTATATCGGGGAGCTAAAATCCCAATGCTTTGCCTAAATGCTCCTCCCCACATTAGGTCAGATTAGTATTTCTCCAACTCCTAGCTTCTCCATCTATTTGTATTCATCCACACGTAATTCAAAAGAAAACATTGGGTTGGCTATGATGTCCCAAACAGTCTTTTTTTCTCTTTCTTTTTTGCTACAAATAGAACTATCTGAACTCAGAAAGATTCTAGCCGCCTTGTTTTTACAGGTGCTGATTCCGGGGCTGAAATAACAGTAGGCATTATTCTTAACTCACTGTCACCAAGTCAATTCACAGTGACCCTATCTCTCATTGGCGTCAACTGAATACCAGATCATAGTGACCCCCTGTGGGCTTCCAAGACTGTAACTGTTTATAGGAGTAGAAAGCCCAGTCTTTCTTCTGAGGAGCTGCTGGTAGTTTTGAACTGCTGACTGATCAGATTTGCAGCCCAACTCCTAACCATAAACCACCGGGCCTCCTCATATTCACCCTATAGGACAGAGTTGAATCTCCCCTGTGGGTTTCCAAGACTGTGGCTTTTTATGAGAGTAGAAAGCTTCATCTTCTCCTGAGGAGTGGCTGGTAGTTCTCAACTGATGACTTTGAGATTAGCAGCCTGACTCGTAACCCCCAAACACCACCAGGGCTGAATTTCTAACCCCAGGTCAGATGGCAGAAGTGCCTGGGTGGTGTTTGGCACTCCATTACTAACTGAAAGGTTAGTGGTTAAACTAGACCAACAAGGCCTCAGAAGAAAGGCCTGGTGATCAGCTTCTGAAAACCCTATGGAGCATCTCTACTCTGCACACATGGGGTCAGCATGGGTCAGAATCGACTCAATGGTACCTGGTTTGGTTTGGGGTTTGGCCATGTGGTAGTAACCTGGACTTAGATAAAGCAGTACCTTCAAGCTTTAGCTCATTGCCTCACTGCCATCAAGTCGATTCCAACTGCCAGCGACCCTATAGGACAGGGTAGAACTGCCCTTGACTTTCCAGCTCAGTGACACCAGCAGTGAGTCCAGCTTCAGAGTGCCTGCACATCACTGTGGAGCTCGTGGAAATGCAGTTCTTGATTCAGTAGCTCTGGGGCAAGGCCTGAGACTCTGCATTTCTAACAGCTCCAATCTAGGCAGTGCTCGTGCTGTTCGTCCCTGGTTCACACTTTGAGTAGCAAACGTGTCAGGAGCATGGACGTACTAGTTGCGTTGCTGGGGAACTAATCAAGTTACTTGCCCTCTCCGCGTCTCAACTCCTCCCATTTGTTAAAAGGGGCAATAGACTGTACCGCCAAGGGTTGCAGGTAAATGGCATTCATATCCACATGGATGTGACACTTTCTGGCACATGATGGGAGACTGCTGTCCTCCCAATTCATGGATCCCTGGTGGTGCTGTCTGGTAAGCATTAGACAGTTCAACCAAAAAAAAAAGGAAGTGAAAGAGTGGAATTGCTCCATAACTTTTGGATAGCCCCCCTCATAGTTGCCTCAATGCTAAAACCCACCAGGGCTTCTGTTTGCTAGCTGGCTAAATATAGAATCCAGCTGCCCTGGCTTTAGCTTACTTCAACTACTGTCAGGGAACCCTAATGGTACTGTAGGTTAAGCAGTCAGTTGCTAATGGAAAGGCTGGCGATTTTAACTCAGCAGTCCTTGCAAGGGAGAAAGAGGAGGCTGTCTGCCTCTCTAAAGGTTGACAGCCTCAGAAACCCTAGGGAGCAGTTCTACTCTGTCCTATAGGGTCAGTGCAAATTGGAATTGACTCAAAGGCAGTGGGTAGGCTCCTACCACAATTTTCACCAAGCAGAAGCCTTCCACAAAGCCATTCATTTATTCCTGAAACAGTATCTGATGGTGCCAGAGAGGGAAACCTTCAAAAATAAAAACAAAACCCACCTTCCTGCCATCAAATTGTTTTCTAACTCATTGCGACTCTATAGAACAGAGTCGAACTGCCCCTGTGGCTTTCTGAGACTCTAACTTTATGGGAGCAGACTGCCCCATCTTTCTCTCTTGGAATAGCTGGTGGAGTGACTTTGGTTAGCAGCCCAACACAAAACCCACGACTCCACCAGGGCTCTTGAAAGAACCTATTATAGTCACACTGAATTGGCTTGTTTGTTTTAAAGGCTAGACTAGACTAAGTCATTGACTAGAGCAGTTCCGATTGTATCTACAGGTGCTAAGGGGCTGCAAGGTAAAGAAAAACCATGATGGGCTGGGTGGGACTTCTGGGCCAGGTGAGTTTTGAATTCCCTTTGCTCCCCTTTCAAAAGAAGCTTCCCACCAATCTGAGGCACTTACCCTGGAGAAAACCATTTAGGCTAATCACGTAATGCTGCCAAGTGTCAGGTTCAGAAACGTTGAAGTTGAAGTTAAGGCTATGGGCGAAGGGTCTGATCATAATTCCTGGCAACGAAAACAGGCTTGGCTATATTAACCCATTCTTTGGATTTTTTTTTGTATACTTCCCATGAAACCCCCAGCCCCACCCCCAAGGCAATCAAAATGAAAAGGACCATAATATGCCAAGTACTGTTTTACTTTTACTCTTAATAATTGAATCCCTAAGCCATTATTGAGAAAGCCAAAGTTAATTGAGGTTGAACATGCTGTGCAAGCAGATATATGTCCAGGGAGTTCTGACAATGCAGGACATCTGGGCACTCACCAGGAGGCTTCACCCTCTCACTGAAGGTCGGCATATAAGGACTGATGGCCAGAAGGAGTGTATACATGCAGATGGTTATCACAGCGGCCAGAGAGGCATAGAAGAGGAAGTAAAGGATCAAGATGAGGCCTGCAGAGCAACCATAGATGACAGTGGTCTGTGTTTGCCAGCAAGCCCTGCCTCCCCCACCCTAGCACTGGAACTCATGCACCAACCCAAACACGTGAGATGACTTTTTGAGGGGAGGCATGGGTAAATCTTACTCCCCTGATTCAGTATGCCCTTGCTCATTCCAATTTCACCTACGTGGAACTGGTGAGGATTGTGTCAGGGGGTCTAACTGCAGTTTCCTTTTACAGCATCTCCGGTGGAAGGGCTTGCTGAGCAAATGAGGACCATGACCAAGATGACAGGGGAGCGCCATTTAAAGTATTACTGAAGGCAAAGTGCTTATGAATCCTCTGGGCACTGGTTGATGTCCTAAGTACAAATCGTTCTTCACTCTTCATTAAAGCAGGTGTCCTGAGGAACCCTAGCCACTTGGTCCGGATGATTAGATATTTTTACAAGGGAGGGAAAAATGCTTCTCTTCACTCAGTCTATAATTCAAAGTTCTTCTTAATTTCCACTGGACTTCCTTCTAATCAAGGCAGAATGAAATGCGACCCTACTGATTCCACACCTTCTTCATCGTTAGCCAGATTGCAGTGGTCCTGCTTTTCTAAAAGGATGCTAACACACCACAGGGCAGCGAGGAGAAGGAGTCAATGGTGCAGGCCTGAGTGGGTTACAGAACCTTCCTCGACCTCGGGTTCCTCACAGGTTCAATGGATATAGGGCCAGCACTTTTTCATTTCCTTATCTGAATGGCCCACAAGTCCTAGAATTCAGGTTTACTAATCTCGGCCATTCCGTTCTCCTCTCTGGGTCTTCAGGTCCTCAGCTATAAAATGAGAGCAACAACAGCACTTTCATCCTAGGGCTGGTTAATGCACAGGAGCAGCACAGCATAGAGCCTAGCACATAGTCCGCAGTTTATCAGTGGCAGCCATTGCTCCTGGTATTGTTGTTAGGAGTACTGGTATTGCTCTAGGTGCAGAAACAAGGTTGTGTGGCTCTCCAGGATTAGTCAGTACCAAGTGAGGTGAGTGTGTCTGAGATGTCTTCTGAGCCGTTCCTTTCAAATCCTCCTTGGGGCCCTGTCAGGCAACCGTACCAGGCTCCGGCTCACATCAGTGAACTGCAAATTTGAACGGCATCATGAACTAGAATCTCGAACAAACCGCATAACATTGCTGTTGCCCAAACGGAATCCAAATATTTTTCATTGAACCATGAACCAAATGAAATTCACCAGAAATGAAGTTGGGTAAGGAGGGGAGAAATGCTTAGTAATCCACCTGGAAATGGAACTAGCCCTTTGCTTTTTTAGCAGATGAACTAAAGCGGAACTGGACCACCAACCTATTGATCCAATGGAGCCTCTAGAGAAGACACAGCAGCGCTTGCGTGCCTGTGATACTTGGCTACTGCCCACTGGCTATCCGAATGCTCCTGTGCCTCCTCCTACATTCCTCCTCCCTCCTCCCCATCCTGAGAATGAAGCAACAGCTGGGGCCATCTTGAGGGGCTGGAAGATTCCGTTTCATGGGTGAAGGGAAAACAATGGAATATGGATAGGTTTACTTGGAGACAGCTCCTTCCTTGCTCAGGATGTGTCGCCAGGAAACTGTGGCCAGGAGAATGGCACTAACAGTGAGTCCCTGCAGCCTCACCTAGGAAGGGGCGCCCTGGAACCTGTGAAGGATTCACCACCTCAGCCAGCCCCCAGGCAAAATCCTGCACTGTCTCCATCTGAACCCATGGATCCCTCCCACTCTGTCTGTTCCAAAGATCCAAGTTGTATTTGGTTCCATCTCATAGGACATCCAAGGGTCCTTCCTGCAATATCCAACCTGGGCTTGAATAGACACCTAGGTACCAATGCTCCTGGCTCTTCAGCACTCCCACCAAAGCACCCCAGCCCATCTCGTGTCCTAGTATGAGAATGAGCTGCAGTGTTCATCCAACCTGGATTGGAAATCCCGACACTACCACTTATTCACTGTGTGACCTTAGAGAAGCTCCTCGTTCTAAACCTCAGTTTCTGCATCTGTAAAGTGGGGATAATAATATTACTGGCTCACGTGGCTCTTGTCAGTGAAATAACATAGAGGGCCTAAAAAGGGGGGTTGCCCAGCTACCAAAAGGAAAACCCAGAGTATAATAACAGGCTGGAGAAATTTGTTGGCTACATTGATGTCCAAGTTAAGACGGGGTTATAGTAAAGTGACCAAATGGGCAACTAGCTCGCCGGCAAAGGGGCAGAAATGTAGATCCTTGGCAGACTAGGCACTGATATCACTTTTTGCCCTTTGTCTAGGGACAACCCAACAGAAGAAGCTTCCTGGGCTCTCCTTAGACTTATTACCGAGTGGCCTGGTCATGGCCTATTGCTCACTGTTCCTACTGCCATATTCTTCCAGGATACTGAGCCCAACCCTGCCCATTCTCACTTATTGTCTTCCACAGGAGCAATTCAGATCACCTCCACTCATCTGGTGAAATTCCAAATGACTAGCTGTTTAGGGGTTAACATATAGTTCACCCTTTCACAGTGACATGTGCATTTTCAGCAGGCCTGGTTTTTCTAGTCATCTTTAGGCAAGGGAAAAACAGCTGCCCCTATTTGCAAGCCCCAATAGGTGCCTAACATTTGTCTCAGCTTCCAGAATGGCAGAATGTCCCTTGAATGGTCCATTTGTTCCACTTGCAAGTGAAGGGACGGACAGGGGTGGGGCTGGGAACTGGGGAGGAGGGAAAGGAGGTGGGTGTTGGTTAGAGCCCAACACCTGCTCTTCCTAATTCCAGGAAGCTGGCCTGGCTCTTTCACCCTAGCTGAGCCAAATTAGGAGCATAAATCATGAGGGACAGAGTCCTCAGCCAAAGGGACCTTGAAAAGGCTCAACCATCAACTTTTAGACCCTTGGCACTCAGTTGATTCTTATTTCATCCATAATGCCCTCTCTTTTTTCATTTTTTTCTGCAGATGAACTGCCTAACCAGCAGCTGCTCTTCTTTGGGACTATGCCGAGTGTGGGACAAGTGTAAATTCTACCCCAGGCTAACTCTCCTGAGGAGAAAGGTTCCACATTTGTACTTTATAAAAGGTGTGCAGAACCCTGGGGAGGGGGTGCTTGGGAAGCGGTGACAGAAAAGTGGTTGCGGCATGTGGGACAAAGAGGCAATATGAAGGAACATCAGTCTGCCACTGGTCAAACAATGGGAGTCTCCGTCTTCATCTCTACCGACGGTCCCCTTAAATTAAATTCCTATTTCTCCCCCACAGAACAGAGAAGCACCCACAAAGCTGGGGCCAAGGATGGGTCTCCTGACTCTCCTTTATTGCCATTAGCAGTCAAAGTGATGAGGCTCTGCAAATCCTTGGCTGGGTAGACAGAGACCAGAGTCTCATGTCCTAGAAATAGTCGTCTGCATAGTACTCGCAACTTGATGATTGTTATCATCTTGTTGGAGCCTCACACTAATCCCGTGAGAAAGGCAAGGCAGATATTATTTCCCCTCATTTGGCAGGTGAGGAAATTGAGGCTCTAGGAGTATACACGACGGGTCCAAGGTCCTGAGGCTGAGTCTTACACATAAATTTTGTGCTTTGCCAACTCAATGCATTCTGTAACCAATGTTGCGTCCAGTGGATTTGAGCCACACAATTCAATCTGATCTCTCTCTTCGAGATTGTTCTGATGGGATCAGCCCAGAGTGATGGCATGTCCCTAGGCACTGGTCCCTTTGGAGGAAATGCTAAGAGAAGTTTGCAGACAAGCCCATCCAGCGTATGAAAAAGGGACCCTGGAGACCGAACCAAAAGCAAAGGACACCAACTGGGACATTGGGACAACTGGGACTTACTGCAACTCTGACCTGTTAGGGCCAGAGACCTTCTTTGTTCTGGATCCCACAGGTATTCATTTATGAGCTGCAATTTCTGCCACCAGGTGTTGCCCATTGGCTGTCCCTGACCTTCTTCTTCCTCATTTTGCACCACCTCTTTCTCTTCTTTCTCCTCCTCCACCAAATCCTCCTCCTCCTCCTTTTCCAAATTGGGTACTCCCATCATCCGAGCTTCTTCCTCTGCTTCCTCCTCTTCATCCGCCAAGTAGTTCTGGTTCACTTCATCCTGGTCATCCTGGAATAGTGACAAATCACAACCTTCTTTTTGAGAACTCTTTCCAATGGAGCCACCCCAGCAGCCACAACATCAATGGAAACAGACTCGGTATTTGGACATATTACCAGTTTCTACTTCCCCAGAAGATACCCATTGTTACAGAAGCAGGCGTTCCTTCCCTTTGTTCTTTTGGGGGCCATCTCCTTTTTATGACCAATTTTGCCTTCATTTTTGTTCCATGGAAGCACACTGTTTATTCTCTGCTTTGGTATTTGGGCTCTTCTCTTTCCCCAGGACTGCTCATGTCATTCCCCTCTCCTGGGACCTTGACCAAGGAACCCTGGTGGTGTAGTGGGTTGCCCATTGGGCTGCTAACTGCAAGGTCAAAAGTTCAAAACCCACCAGCTACTCCATAGGAGGAAAAGGAAGTTTCTGTTCCCATAAAGATTACAGCCTCAGCAACCCACAGGCACAGTCCTAGAAGGTCTCTCTGAGTCTGAATCAACCCGATAGCCCTGAGTTTCCTTGGGTTTGGTTTTGGTTTGGGGGGACCTTGACCCCCTCCTTAACTTTACCTTTCCTGTCAGGGCAGAGCTGAGCTCAACTGTGGAGGATGGAGTCGTTATAGACACTTGTTTCCGTGATGGAAACAAGTCTAAGCTGGTTTCATCCAAACACCCAGTAACCTTTCAGCTGCCAACCCTCACCATCCCAAGTTGTGTTTAAAAATAGCCCGGGTCAGGAGGAAAGGCAAGCCACTGTACCCTTCCTCAAAACTTAAGGGTACCTTCCCCAAAGAAACACGATATGCGGAATAATTTGCAGCTTTCCTGAGTGTTGCCTTAGCTGGATACTCCCCCTACCTTTAGCTGGTTGGACAGACCACCTTAAGGGCTGGGACCTCCAACAGATACTTCATTAGTCTCCTCCTGCACCCTAGGCAAAAACAACAACAACTAGGCATGTAGTAAGTGCTCAGCACATACTTTTAAATTGATCACCACGGTTATTGTAAACTCTGAGTGTGTCTACGGAAATGTAACAAACGAAATAAAAGACAACCTCAAACATCAAGTGGTCTTTCAAATGCCTCCCAACCACAGTCTGGAGAGTTGGATCTTTGCGCTTTTTGGGGGTCTGCCAAGGCTCACTGCAGCAGGAGAAAATGAAGTCACCCTCTCTTCTCTCTGCTGTCCAAGTCTGAAGAGCGGCAGGGCCTCTGCACCTGTTGGGGGCTGGATGTGTCAAATGATAGGACCAGGGGCTCTGTGCCGCCCTCGCCCTGCCCGATTCCTCAAAGGCCACTTAGAGGGCACTCAGCTGGCAATCCTGTGTTTGGTGGGGGCTTCAGTAAACTAGATTGTTCAGAATCCAGGATACAGAATTACCAGGCTCCACTCTGTGTCTCAGCAACTATCTCATTCTTGATTCTAAGCATTCTCAAACTGTTTCAGCATTCGCTCACATTTACAGCTTTATATTACATATATCAGAACTGAAAGGGACCTTTAGATCTGCTTGTCCAACTGAGGCCCAGAAAGGGGACACAACTTAGCCAGAACTACACAGCATATTCGTGATAGAGTTGACAATCTCCAAATCTCAATGTCTTAATATCCTGGACAATGATGAGTTTTTCTTCTTTCTTCCTCAGTCACATGGAGTGCAGGTAATTAGATGTGATTTAGTCCATTTATAAAACAGACTAATGTGTTTGACTGTGTTTCCCAAGAGACTGGAGGCTCTTACAACCAAGGATGTCTCACAGGGACATGGGTTCACAGTGTAAGGCTTGCACTAAACCCTGTCATTTATTGTTGAAAGTGTGAATACAGGTTATTATATCACCTTTACTTGTGTGTGACCCTAGGTACATGTTTGACTTCACAAACTAATTTCTAACCCTTTGATGGACCTCCACGGGGTGAAGTCCAGATCTAAGAACCCAGTGGGTACCGAACAAATGTCAATGAAAACTGTCTGACTTAAAGCCTGAGCTGAGACTCTGGGAAATGTTCTGATAGGGCATGTCACCCTGATTCCAGCGGTCATGTGGAGTCTGGAGAGTAGTCATCATGGCCCCCACAGAACCTACTGCAATTAAGAAGTGCAGAGCATTTGAAGTGTAACAGTTCATCCTTTACTCTCTTTATATTTTCTAAACAACTTCATTTTTTTCCTTTTCATTTCACATGCTCACCTGTCACCTCTGCCCCAGATATGAGCTCTCAGGATAACTCCATTAAACACGTTATTAACGTCTTGCCATTCTCAAACACTCACTGTCATCAAGCTGATTCTGACTCAAAGCAACCCTCTAGCACAGGCTAGAATTGCCCGCATGGGTTTCTGAGACTGCAACTCTTTATGGGATTAGAAAGCACCATCTTTCTCCCACGGAGCAACTGGTGGTTTTGAACATCTAACCTTGTGGTTAGTAGCCCACTGTATAACCCACGATGCCACCAGGGCTCCCCTTTGCCATTCTAGGAGAGTGAATCTTCTCAGAGTTAATTTCCCCAACAGTTCACACCCTGCCCAGAAGCAGGTGAATCTCATGTTGTGCAAGAGCTGCCTTCCTTAAAAAACAAAAAGAATCGTGCTCTTCTTTAATTAAATCCTATGGAAAATGTACTTTGCATACCACCTTCTAATGAAATCCAGTAGGGAATCCTTTGGTATGGAGAACATCCCCCCACATCCCCCCACATCCTATTTTTGTCAGTTTCCTAAAGTGGCGCTGTTCTCATGTGTATGTAAGTGTGCTGGGTGCATCACGTTGCCCTAATAGGGAAGAGTCTTGAAGAGTAGAGGGTGGTTCCGTTTCAAGGATTCAAATAGATATAAACCCATAAGGAAACATATAAACAATAGGACCCAAAGGACACATTTATGCCCGGCATCGAGTAGCACCATGTAAATATTTGATCGGTTGGTTAATTTTTAAAGATAAATGAGCACAGTCATTATACACGGCATCAAAGAATTTCGGGTTAATTTGCTCCAGTACGCCCCTTAAGAAGCAAGTTCCCCTGACGCCTTTAAAGCCAAGCCAACTGGCAATTGAAAGTATACACGCTTTAGAAACAGTCCATGGCAAAGAAGTCACGGAAGGAATCATTAAAAGGCCCACAGAGGGTGATTACTTTGTGAGCGGGGAGAAACTTTGGGAGTGTCAAAAGAAAAAGTGTCCACATTGTAGCTGGAAAGCTCAGCGAGGTCCTTTGTAGGTTGTTATATGATGAGAAGAATTTGGATTTTCCTGTCTTGACTGTCGATAGTCTTGACTTAAATCCCTGAGTACATACATAATCTCTGAGGGATGTTTCAGCCTATGCCCTGCCCCACTCCCATCACCACCAATATTGAAAGTGTTAGAGTGGCATTGATGAATGAAATATAGCCAAATATAGCCAAATCAAGGTTAACAAACTTTGGGATGTTTTGAGAATGATGATGGCAACAAATGTACAAATGTGCTTGACACAATGGATGTCAAAAAAATGATTTTAAAAAAAGAAAAAGAAAGAAACTTTTGGATAAAACAGAAAAAAATTGTATTGCATTCTGTGGATGGGGGTGGGGGTGGGGGATATATTGGGTAGGCTTGGGCAGCAGGCAAGATGGCAATGGGTGGTGAAAATGGGGGTGGGGGGTTGCATACTGCACAGTGTCATGAAAAGAGCACGCGATGGAAGTAAAAAGACTTGCATTCTCACGTTGGCTCCTCCATGACCTTACAAGTCACTCCTTAGTTTCTATGATTGTAGCGAGAGGTCAGAAATTCTGCTGGGTTCCTAAGAAGCTACCACCCAAAGGGGCTGAGACAGCTGGTTAAATTTCTTGCTATCAGAACGGAGCCCCTCATCCCAGACTATAATTTCTGTTCAAAGTCTGTGCTTCCACAAAACTCTTTAGAAAACCTCTTCTTCTCTGAGCTCTTCCCCTTCTCTTTGTTTCCCACAAAGAAGGTTTCCCTCCAGCAACTTGGGGTGCTCTACGGTGCTGGGAGCCTTTCCGCCCTCTTGAAGCTTGAGTTTCCATCAACTTCACAATTCATGCTCAGCACAAGAAAAAACACCCAAACTTACACAGACCCCACCCCACCCCCAATAAAAAGGGGGAGCGAAATGGTGTGCTCCCTGAGACTTACGAGTCTGTAGTGATAACCATGAGGCAAGGTCGGAGCCCTTCTGGAGCGGAGTTGCCTTCTCATGGCTGCTCGGTGGACAGAAACTTAGCAGAGGCAGACAAGTGGCTGAGAGTTCTGGAACTTCTGCTGGTACAGGAGACACTGGCTGCTGGGGACACTTGGCGCCTAGTAAAAGTGAACCCTCCTGGCATGAGCCCTTCCCCAAAATAATCTAACATGCCCCTCTCTCATTGGTTGGCCCCTTCCCTGAATCAAGGGAAAGCCCTTATGGAAAAGCAAGCTCATCATTACAGAGAGGGGGTGACGTTCTGGGTCACAAGGATGAGTAACTCACCCCCTGCATTTTCATGTCTCTTCCCACCCTCTGCCCTTCTCCAGTGCCTGAGATACAATGGACCCAATGGAAATCTTACGTTGTGTTTGTTTGATTTTGTTTTCTCAATTGTGAGTTGGATCTGAGTGTGTCCAGAGGGTAGGGCTTGGGTGGGAGTTGGGGTGAGGAGAGATGGCTAGGAATAACTTGCTTTTTTCATAAGGCTGATCTCATGCAAAAGAATCCAGGGTGTTGGGAAGGATTCTCTTTGCTCTATCCTCTCCACCCCACCCCCCCACACACACCGAGCACCAAATATTTCTTATTCGTGTCAATCTATGAGCCTCTTAAAATGGGGATTATGCTTCCCGGTTTTTGAGGTGAGGACCACATTTAACTCCCCCCACCCCACCTTCCCCCACCCAAAGAAAGTCTGAGACATAAAGAAAACTTTTTCTAGCTCGCATGTCAGAGTGGCCATCAGTCACTGCCCCTCTCACACACACACACACCCCTTGGAACCCTGGCCAAATTTCTGTAGTGGTTGAGATCTATATTTATCACTTAGCATCAGGGCAGGGGACAAGCCAGAACTTTGCAGTGTCAGTTTTCCAGACATATATAACTCCTGAAGCCAATGTGGGGTACAGCAAGAGAAAAATGAGTTTAAACAGCCAAAATATCATTTAGCAATTTCAGTCTCTTTGGTCCACTCAACAGCAGGCTGGGTGGCTAAGAGCCCCAGGTGGAGCTGGTGACCCTCCCTTCCCAGGCCACCCTGCACCACTCCCAGTACACCCCCGTAGCTGGGCATGTTGCAGAGGTGGCAATTGTGGGCATATTCATAATTGAGGACAATCGCTGAGATAGGTACATTCATGCATAACTCCAAGTCTAGGCTATTCTGATGGAAAATGGCATCACTTGTGGCTAACTGTAAATAAAGATTTTGTTTCCTGGACCATTCCTGATCAGGACTCTTGAACAGTCTCCCTCCTCTCCTTATGTAAAGAGAAAAAGGCTTCTTGGGGTTTTAATAAAAGTTCCAAACATTCCAGCCAATGATCTTGTCTCAATAGATATGGAGCTCTCTTTCTTCCACCTTCTCCAAGCCAGTCTTTGGCATGATTCCTGCTATTAAGTATGAAAACCCTGAGGCCCTTGAGCATCTCAGAAAACAAAGAAAGGATAGCTTCGCTGGCCTTGTCTTGCAAAGGCAGAAAAGCAAGGATGGTCATTTTAGCAGCATTTTAAAAATCAAGAGTGGGAGGACCAAAGGGCCCAAACAGTGATGTCATGTAGCTCAAATAACAAAGAAAAATGCCTTTCTTCGGGGTCTCCCATTCCTTAGGTTCTGGGTAGCTGAAGGCTTGCTATATACGTAATACATTTGCAATGGACTGTACTCTAGCCCAGGCTGCCTTCTGGAACGCCAGCTGTTGGGTTGGATAAAATAACCAAATCCCATAGGATATGAGTTCACACTCAGAAGATTTCAGTTAAGGAGAAATCATGTCTGCCGATTTTGAAGCAAAACAATAAGTGGTCAGTGGAGATGCCCATGAAGAAGGAGTTACTAAAGTCAGAGGGAACTGTGAAAGGGGAGATTCGAATTTGAGTGCAGGCTTAAAGGCGAATAATACAGTTTCTACAACTTTATGTCTAGTCCTGGACACAGGGGCCTTGGTGGTATAATGGGTTATGTGTTAGGCTGCTAACTGCAAGGTCAGCAGTTTGAAATCACCAGCCGCTCCTCAGAAGAAAGATGAGGCTTTGTGCTACCAAAAAGATTGACAGTCTTGGAAACCCCACAGGGGCAGTTCCACTCTGTGCTACAGGGTTACTATGAGTCGGAATCAACTTGAAGGCAGTAAGATTTTGTAGTTTGGGGCACAGGTATCAGCAGCTGCTTCTAGAAACCTGTTGTCCTGGTTGCTTACTCTAGTGAAGCCACATGTTTGTTGACAGTGGGAACTGGGGACAGAAACATTCTTTCGGGTCTGGGTCCTCTTGCTCTCAGTGAGAGGAGGAAACGGCAGCACCTTCCAGAGAATCTTTGATTCTAGCATGCTGGTCCTGTAGGCCATTTCTACAGTTCTGGAGCAGGGGCTTAGTGTGCCCCAGAGCTAGCAAGGAGCAGTTGCCTACGCTCCTTGCTCAGGGATTAACTCATTTTTTAGGGAGGTTCTGGGAGGAAGTGGCATCACTAGACGGGTGCAGAGGGATGCAGACGTCACTGGGTAATACTGTCTGAGGGGATGACACCAAAATAACTCTCTATAAACTGTGTAGTGTTTTAGCAGAAGCTATTAACTTTTATAAACACAAACCGGAGATGAGTTACAATAACAAAAGTTACAATAACAGAAGTTACAATAACAAAAGCCTTTCTGGTGTAAACCCAGCTTCTATGCATCAATATATGGATAAGCTAAAATTCAATGCTAATTTATGTTTTGCAGCTTCTAATACATAATGGATTATGGGTTGCGCTGCAACTCCAAGGACAGTTTTTTAAAACCACCAGGTGCTCTACAGGAGAAAGATGAGGCTTTCTACTGGCGTGAAGAGTGACAGTCTCAGAAACCCACAGGCGGGCAGTTCTGAGTTGAAAACAACTCAATGGCCATGAGTCTGTCTGTCTGTCTGTTTTCATGTAGCTAGCCAGAGCGGTCATTCTTGCCCAGTTACAACCACACTTTGAAATGTGGTGTTCTCTGCACACACTATAAGCACGCGCTGTTGTTGTCATCGATGCCGGTGTTTTTACAGTCACCGATTTTATCAAATTTCCTGGTGTTTTGGATACAATATTGTGGTAGTTCATATTTGTGAGAACCTATATCAACAAGCTTTTAAGAATAAAGTAGTATTTAAAGGAAAAGCAGGAGAAAAAAATTAAGGTTTCCACTCAGTCATTAATAATGTTCTGAAATTCAATGTAGAAAGATTTTACAAAACAATATCCATGTAATCTAAGAAATATTACATTTCAGCAATTTACAACTCTGCAAGAGAGGCTTTAAAGAGTTCATGGAAAACAGAAATGGAAAGATAGTGGAATTGTTTACAGCTCCCTTGTATCTACCACATAGTATTTTTGACACTCCCTTTTATCTATCACATAGAATTCAATGATTTGGAGAAAGACCAGGCTTTCTGCTCTCATAAGGAGCTAGAGTCTCAGAAACTCACAGAGGCAGTTCTATCCTGCCGTATAGGGTCTCTATGAGTCAGTGTCAACTCGATGGCAATGAGGTTGGTTTTTTATTTGATGATTAATATTGATAATGAACATTACTAAGGATTCTGTATGGTCTGGTTCAGGAGGAGGTCCATGGGGACAGGGGTAGTAACATGCGTTACCAAACAGTGTGACACCAACCCTAGTAATGCCCCTGTTGGGAGCCACCTACAACAGAGTTTAAGAGTTGTTTTCACTTGAGACCAGAAGAACTAGATGGTGCCCAGTTGCCACCATCAACTTCTTGGAGCTGAGAAAAATCATATGTAAAAGGTCTTGGATACGGTGGAAGAAAAAATGTAAAACAAACTATAGCCCTTAATCACCCTGTAGGTCTGGAACTGAACTCACCGGTATAGTAGAATAAGCAGCAGTGTAAGATTAAAAGGACACTTACCCAAGGACCAAGTTCTGAAGGTTAGAAAATAAGGAGGAATGGCAACAGGTACCAGAGGCAGACAGTGGAATAAGTGACGGTACATTGCGGGCTTTGCAATAAATGAGTTGAGAAAACGTGTATAAATTATTAAATCGTAAAACTGATGATCTGCTCTGTACATGTTCACTTAATTCACAATAAAAAAGATAAATACAGAAAAAGAATGGGTTGTTCAATTAGTCCAAAGGACCGTGTGAACCCACAACCTTCACTACCCTGAGACCAGAGGAACTAGATGGTACCTGGTTAACCACTACCAAAGATGGATTGGACCAGGATCACAATAGAAGTTCCTGGACAGAATCAGAGGGGAAAAAATACATAGAACAAAAATTTAAATAATTTTTCTAAAAAAAAAAGAACAGACATATTGGTCTGTTCAAACAACAATAGGTTAAAAACAACAAAATATCCCTGCCACGAGTTGTTTCTGACTCAGGACAGCCCTATAGAACCTAGTGGAACTGCTCCTGTGGGGTTTTGAGGTTGTAAATCTTTACAAGCGCAGACAGCCTCATCTTTCTCCCTCAGAACAGCTGATGGGTTTGAACCACTGGCCTTGTCATTAGCAGCCCAACTCATAAGCCACTAGACCACTAGAGCTCCTTATAAACAGGCCTGTAAAGTGAATAATAATGGCAGAGAGGAATATGCTCCTCAGAACCACTAACTATCCAAGACCAAAAGGCAGTATTTGCCCCCAAAACAAAGCTCAGAAGGCAGGAAGGGGCAGGAAAGAAGGATGAGTCAGAACAGAGAACCCAGGGAGGAAGTAGGAAGAGTGCTGTCGCTTTGAGAGGATTGCAACCAAAGTCACGAAACAAAACATGACTAAATTATTGAATGGAAACTAATCTGCTCTCTAACTTTTACCCAAACCACAATAAAGAGCTCAAAATATAAATAAGGATTGTTGTTGGATTCACACAGGCATTATTCTGTGTCCTCTAGAACCCCAGGCCCTTCCAGTATCAGTGACCCTATAGACTCTGAAGTCATGGGTGAGGAAGCTCCAAGTGGTCTGGCCTGAGGCTGTCCATGAATGCTACCCAGCATAGGTGACCCCT